TGTGAGAATGAAATAGAATAGTGTAAGTGAACGTGCCTTAAAAACTACAAAGTGTTATCTTACAGATATAAGGTATCATGTATGATTTGATACGTAATAGCATATCACTCTGCAACAGGTGTTTCTAATGCCTCTAGAAAATAGATTAATGGGGCAGCTAGATGGTGCAGGAGATAGAGCTCTGGCCTTGGAGTTAGGAGGACCTGAGCTCCAATCTGGCCTCAGACACTTAACATTTACTAGCTGGGTGACCCCAGGCAAGTCACTTAACCCTGATTGCCTCATTAAAAAGCAAAAACAGAGCAAAAAAAAGAAAGATAGGAAATGTAAAGTAGTAAGTAGGTTCAAAGGAAGTACCATTCAACTTCTGTTTCCTTGTTTTTTAAATGATCCTCTATAAACCTTTCCTTATAAAAAAAGAAAAATAGCTAAGCAAGACCAAGTGATAACAGTAATAAATAACTGATGATGTATGCCACATTCCATACTTAAAATCCCTACCTGTCTACCAAAAGGAGTGTGATAATGTAAGCTTCATCATTTGCTCTCCAGAGACAAGATTGAGCATTCTGAGTTCAGCTTCTTTTGGGTGTCATTTTTATTTTCATTATTATAGTCATTGATTATGTTGTCCTTTGGTTCTCCTTACTCAAATTCACATCAAACTAATTAAAATCTTCCTCTGTCTCTCTGAATTCCTCATATCAATCATTTTTTATGGCACAGGAATTATCATTTTTGCAAACTTCAATTAAGAAAGGAGAAAAAATTAATATGAACATTTTTTAATCTTAGTTTAAAAAACCAACTAAGGAAATTAAAAAAACCACAGATGTTAGGATAAAGTAATCTAAACTGGAAACTTCTATACATATGGTAGCATGAGCTCAGTTTTAAGTGGGTAAGAATCTTTAAAAAAATAAACTATCCCGCCATCCTCCATTGTTCTGTTCCTAACTATTAAATCCCTCCCCCCTTTAATTAATGATTCAGGTAACAAATAGTCTCTATTTTCTACTTCATTTTGTTCATATGGAAGTGGACCAAAAATAAAAATTCAAATAGTTAGCAAAAGGGCATCTTGAATTCCCATATTCTGTATTCTATTAATATTTGAGGTATCCTTATATAGTGATATATATTTTCACGTTAGTGTTGGGGGGAAAGTTTAAAAAAATCATCTCCGTATGAGAATCACTTCAACTTTTTGTTCAATTAAATAAGCATTCATTCTGTTCAGTCAATCAATAAACATTTATTAAGTACCTACTATGTGCCAGGCACTGTGCTAAGTGCTAGGGACAGAAAAAGAGGCAAGTCTCTTCCCTCAAGGAATTTACAATCTTCTGGAGTATGTTGTAGTGCAGAAGTGTCAATCATTTGCCCATGCTGCTCATAGCACTCCTAAATGCAGCCCAAACCAGATTAAAATGTAATTGGGTAATATTTAACAGAATAAATAAAAATACAATAAAACCTAGATGAGATCACATTTTAAAACTAAGTCAATACACACAGAATAAAGGTAAAAGGTTTCGAGCAGAATATATTATGCTAGCAGGGGTATCAATCCTAATCTCAAACAAAGCAAAAGCAAAAATAGATCTAATTAAAAGAGATAAGGAAGAAAACTATATCCTGGTAAAAGGTGCTATGGACATAAAGTAATATCATTACTAAACATATATGCACCAAGTGGCATAGCAGCCAAATTCTTAAGGGAGAAATTAAGAGAGATAGAGGAAGAAATAGACAGAAGACTATACTAGTGGGGGGCCTCAACCTCCCCCTCTCAGAACTAGATAAATCTAACCACAAAATAAACAAGAAAGAAGTTAAGGAGATAACGGAATCTTAGAAAAGTTAAATATGGTTGACCCCTGTAGAAAACTGAATGGGGACAGAAAGGAATATACTTTTTTCTTGGTGGTATGTGGCACCTACATAAAAACTGACCATGTAGTAAGGCATAAAAATCTCATGGTCAAATGCAGAAAGGCAGAAATATTAAATACATACTTTTCAGATCATGATGCAATAAAAATTATATGTAATAGAGGGCCCTGGAAAGATAGGCTAAAAATTAATTGGAAACTGAATAATCTAATCTTAAAGAATGAGTGGGTCAAACAACAAATCATAGAAACAATCAATAACTTCATCCAAGAGAATGACAATAATGAGACAACATATCAAAACTTATGGGATGCAGCAAAAGCAGTCCTTACGGGAAGGTTTATATCTCTAAATGCTTATATGAATAGAATAGAGAAAGAAGAGATCAATGAATTGGGCATACAACTGAAAAAAAAACTAGAAAAAGAACAAATTAAAAATCCCCAATTAAATACTAAAATAGAAATTCTGAAAACCAAAGGAGAGATTAATAAAATTGAAACTAAGAAAACTATTGAACTAATAAATAAAACTAAGAGCTGGTTTTATGAAAAAAAAACAATAAAATAGATAATCATTTGGTTAATTTCATTTAAAAAAGAAAGAAGAAAACCAAATTACTAGCATCAAAAATGAAAAAGGTGAATTCTCCACCAATGAAGAGGAAATCAAAACATAATTAGGAGCTATTTTGCCCAACTATATGACAATAAATTTGATAATCTTAGTGAAATGGATGAATATTTTCAAAAATATAAATTATACACAAGAACAGCAACATTGTGCAGTGATCAACTTTGATAGACTTAGCTCTTCTCAGCAATGCAAGGATCTAAGACATCTCTAAAAGTTTCATGATGGAAAATGCTATCCACATCCAGAGAAAGGACCATGGAGTTGGAATGCAGATCAAAGCACACTGTTTGCTCTTTTTTTCTCTCTCTTCTGTTTTTTTTCCTTCATTCTTGTGGTTCCTCCTATTGGTTCTAATTCTTCTTTACAACATGACTAATGTGAAAATATGTTTAATAGGATTGTATGTGTAGAGCCTATACCAGACTGCACTCTGTCTTGGAGAGGGAGGAGAGGAAGGAGAGGGAGGAAATGTAAAACTAAAAAGCTTATGGAAAATGAACGTTAAAAACTAAAAATAAATTAATTAAAAAAAGAAATGATGAGCAGGCAGACTTAAAAAAAACCTAGAAAGACTTCCATGAACTGATGCAGAGTGAAATGAGCAGAACCAGGAGAACATTATACACAGTAATAGCCACATTGTGCAATGACTGACTTTGATAGACTTGGTTCTTCACAGCAATGCAAGAATCTAAGACAACTCCAAAAGACTCATGATAGAAATTGCTATCCACATCCAGAGAAAGAAATATGGAGTCTGAATACAGATGGAAGCATACTATTTGCTCTCCTTTTCCTTTGTTGTTTTGTTTTATTGCTTCATTCTTGTGGTTCCTCCCATTAGTTCTAATTGCTCTTTACATCATGACTAATGGGAAAATATGCTTAACATGAATGTATATGTAGAGCCCATATGAGATTGTACACCGATTTGGGTGGGTGGGGGAGAAAATTTAAAACTCAAAATCTTATGGAAGTGAATGTTGAAAACTAAAAATAAATAAAATATCAAAAAAACTACTAGGTGGTGCAGTGGCCTCAGACACATAATACTCACTAGCTGTGTGACTCTGGGCAAGTCACTTAACCCCAATTGCCTCACCAAAAAACAAACAAACAAACAAAAAACTAAGTCAATATGTGGAGCCCACTTCTATTTGAGTCCAATACCACTGGTGTAGTGGATAAAGAGCTAGCTCAGAGCCAGGAAGATGGGTTCAAGTCTTGCCTCTGACATATATTGGCTGTGTGATCCTGAGTAGATCGCTTAATTTCTCCATAAGCCCAGGAAACTCTATAAGACACTAAGTTGTAGAATAATTGCAATCTACATTGGTAAAGGGTGTTTCCTTGCTGGGAATCCTCTACAACAATGAAATCACAAGTCTGGGTGATAAAATACATATGTATGAAAATGTTCATATTTTCTAGTGTTTGTCAAGTTGAGAATAATAGAGACATTTTTTTAAAGGTAAGCAAGCCTATTATGTGTCAGACATTGTGCTGGGCTCTAGAGGTTAAAAGACAAAAACCAAACAGTCCCTGTCCTCAAGGAGATTACATTTTACTTGGAGGGAAAATCACATAGACAGATAAATATAAAATATATAGGAAGTATTTTTGGAGAAGCTGGGAGAGCACTAATAACTATGGGAATGAGGAAGGGTCCTTTCTAGGAAGTAGCACTTGGCTGAGCATTGAAGGAAGCTAAAGGATTACAACTGGCCTAGCTGAGAAAGGAGAGTGTTCTAGGCATGGGGGAATAGCTTGAGTAAAATTATGAAGGATTTGAATGATTCATCTTATAACTATATATGACTGTTCTTGTTGCTTCTTTACACTAAGTATGATATGATCTGTCATTGAGACTACAGGCTGTGAGTTTTGAGTTAATTCTTAACTTGACTTTCTGGACATAGCATCATGGATCACAGAATCATAGACTCCAGCTTTTCACTCCTCAAATTGCTTGCCGCCAAATTACTGAGAAAAAGTGCCAGGCATTTTTGGTAATGATGAATAATAATAGAGTGATCTCAGAGAAGTCTAAACCAAATATACATAGATGTAAAACAGAGTTTAGTGTAGTGGAAAGAGTACTGGGCTAAGAGTCAAAAGGACTAAGTGCTGTTTACGCTAGATCTTAGCGAGTCATTTAATTTCTTTGGGCTTTAGTTTCTTCCATTATAAAATGAAAGAGTTGAATCAGACATTGATAATCTCTGAGGTTCAGGTGGCTCTAAAATTTTTAACAAAAGAACATACTGAAAATCATAAACAAATTTTTTAAAACTATAAGGCTACTTTCCTAAGTATAAGGTGGCTTGCCCTATGGAGGCGCTCTGCTTTCCCTAGTCCCCTACCACAAGAGTGGGAGTAGCCTCCTTCCGTAGTCCTCATAGACAGAACTGCCAGACTGGGACAGTCTCTCTTTTTCCTCTTTGCTCTCTCCTGCTACTCACAGAGGGTGAAGATCACACACATTTCTCCTACAACAAGAAAACTATGAAATGAACCAGGACGGTGACAAGATACAGGGAAAGGAGGTAGGGAGGGCCAGAATACCTTCTGCCCTTTTAACTCCAATGCAAAGAAACCAGTCTGGGGTCCCTATTCTATTTTGTTTGTTCTCCTCAGTTTCAAGTGCAGAGTACACTCCCCATTAGAATTTTAAGCCATGGCAATCTTGGAGCCAGGATTTCAGGCAGGATGCTGCCACCAGCCAGCATGGCAGGAAAACGCTGAGAAACCAGCACGCTTCAGCCTGGAGGCCACGGGGGAGTTTCAACTTGGAATCTGGAACCTGGAACTGTCCTCTATAGGAAATGAGCTAAGATATGAATCTAATTCCTTTCCTCTCTCCAGAGACTGAGGGTGGTATGGGGGTGGGGGCGAAAGAATTAAGACCTATGTGTTATTGAGAGAATAAGGTTATATATTTGTGATTATTCTTTTGAAGTAATTTTTTTTGGTAAAAGCAAATCCAACTATGAGTGGTTAAATGGAGCTGGGGAGCAGGGGCCTCACCATTGAGGGAGGCTCGAGCCTTTGGCCGAGATCCCAGATGCCCTGCCAGTCAGTGTGAGAGACGGATTCTTTACTCTGCGAGGGCACAGGAAAACCCTGGGCAAGGGGTTAAAAATAACATTCCTAGCTTTGGAGAAGCGAGGGTCAGGGTGGCAAGGGTTAAGTAATACCAAGTAGAGCAATATTTGAATACGATAGAATTAAAATAAGAATTAACTCTAAGCCACTCCGTAAAGAATTAGTGCCAACAGGTACAGAAATGAGGTGAGCAGGTCACTAGTCTAATAATCTGTCTGTTAGCTAGACTACACTGATTCTCATTAGCTTCAGGATACAATTAGTGAAATTTCCTAATACATGCTAGCTGTGACTACCCAAACCAAAAATATTATATTAGTTAATTATAAATTAGTATTTGCCAAAGACAGCAGTTCTCTTCATATTGTTATGTTTAATTAAAGAAACTTGCCTATACTCCTTCCTTTTCATTTCAATATTTCTCATTTTTCTCTCTCCAGCTTTTTTGTGTCCACTGTTTCATCATATTGAATTTACATTCTTCTCTCTTCAATTCCTGTTATCTCTCCAGACCTCCTTTTCCCTTTCTTCTTTTCTTCCATATTGCTTGGTTCATTGTGTGAATAATTTTTGCAAAGTGGGCTTTTTTTCATGTCTTTAATAGGAATGGAGGAAGAGAAGGAGCAAGACTTAAGCAATTCATTTTATGTCTGTTCTATGTCTCAGTGGAGGAAGAGTGCCTTCTAGTGTTGCTTGCAATAACATTTTTATTTGAAAAGATAGTATGAATCTGAAAGGAAAACACCTCAATGCTACATTGTACATCTTCATTCTCTATTTCTCTAGATATATTTGTAAGTTACGTGGATAGTTAAGTGAAGGTGTTATTGTCCCTATATTTTAGTTGAATCGCATAAAATTGAGGAATGTTTAAAAAAAAGCAATTTGAGTCAGTAACCAGGCCCAAACTGGAACCCTGCTTCTGCAAAACATGGACTAAACTAGTCACATGGATAGCCTAGGAAAAATGGAGCAACCTGATGCGTTCCACTAGAGGAGGTGGCCCCAAAGTATGATTCATGACAGTGCAATGTCCACCAAAGCAATGACAATTGCAAAAGCTGGTTGTTATTAGATGCCAGGCACAGGGAAACATGGTCCCTTGGCATTTCTTTCCTGGTGTGTCTTTTAACAGTCTATTTGGATGGTTTGTCTCCTATGGATGCTCAAATTCCAGGGCAGCTAATGGTTTTCTTGGGATTGCCTTTGAGGAAAGAGCCAGGTCAAGGCCTTTATGTGCCCTTACCTTGGTCTAAAAATGGTAGACCACTTTCCTTCCATCTTCCCTCCCCTACATTACCTAAATTGTACTCCCTGTTGGTTTCCACAGGAGAATCTCTTTTAAAACAGATGGGACAAAGTAGATGCCAACATGCCACAGAGAGTAGAATTTTCTGGAATTTAAAAAAAGAACCACATTGGGGAATGGTTAAACAAATCATTATATGTGAATATAATGGAATAGCACTTTAAGAAACAAGGAAGATGAAGAACATAAACGTAATTTGGGACATGCAAGGAGCAGGACAACTAAAACCAGAAGCCAAGAGATCAAAACTGGAGATGGTTTCATTAGAGGAAATAAATTTTGTAGCTTTAAACCTTTTTTTTTCTTCAATGGTCCATAGACTCATCATCAGTGTTAAGAGTGTATAAACAGCAATGTTGGACAAGAGATGGAAGCATGACCCTTAGGTAGCCAAGAGTAGTTCTTTGGCCAAGTCCCTTAACTTCTCAGCTTCTTTGGTTGCAAATGATGGGGGTAGACAAGATGATCTCCACAGTAACCTCCAAGTTTACTAGCCAGGAATTAGGATATTCTTCAATAAACATTTGTTAAACACCAGTTATTATGTACCAGGTACTGTGCTAAGTACTGGAGAAACAAAAAGAGGCAAAAGACAATCCCTGCCCTCAAGGAGCTCACAGTTTAATGGGCAAGACAACAAGCAAACAAACATATACAAACAAGCTACCATATAGGATAAATACAAATAATTAGGGAAGACACTAGAATTAAGAGAGGTTAGGAAAGGCTTCCTGTTGAAGATGGGATTTTTGTTGACTTAAAGGAAGTCAAATGAAATAGTGTTTGTAAAGCACTTTGCAAACCTTAAAGTGCTGTAAAATTACTATTATTATTACTGAAGGGAACTGGAATACTTCGAGCCATATCCTAGTGATGATGAACCACCTCATCTGGTACAGGCCTACCTAAAAAAATAGATAGATGATAGATAGATAGATAAAGTAAAGAGATTAATGTCAAGACATTAAGAGACATCCTGTTTTCCAGAGCTAAGGCCCTGGAAGCAAGCTATGTCCTGAGCTTGGCATAACAACAATTCTTTGTGCTCACCTTCTGGAACTGATGGCCCTGAGCTTATGATGAATGCCAGCAGGAATGACGCTTACTCCATGCTTTGATGTTTGGGTGAGAGACACAACTGACTACTGACCTGTGGTTCAAAGTCTCTGAGGACTGGGAAAATACATAGATTTACCAGCAGTATATAACTAGACAGAGAGATCAGGTTATCACCTAGCCATGGCCTCAGCTCAGAAAAGTATGGAAAGAAAAAAAGAAACATAGTGGTACATGAGGGCAGGGAGAGGAGGTTGCTTTAGCTTGAAAGAGCCCTCAACCTATATGAGGGAGAAGGGTTAGTTAGGTATATGCAAATGCCATCCCTTTCCTACCTGCTTCTCTTGGTGTAGAGTCAAGTATACGTTGGGGCTCAATCTGCATAAGACTCTCTTCATTGGTAGACATTGGTTACTCAATGCTCCATGCCTGTGTGAAGGGAGGAATTACAGAGAGGTCGACAGAAAAGAAATCCTTGCTCTGCTGACTTCCAATTTCTAGAGAAGAATCACATGTTTCCATATCCTTTTCAAGGAAAGACTCCAGGAAAAGGCTGACATGTAGAGGAGGAGGTCACCTAGAAAACTTATTCTTTAGGAGCTGGAGACAGCCCTATTCAATGTGGGTCATATGGGCCTAGGACTGGAACTTGAGTCCAATGGGTTTAAAGACACCATTTCTTCCACAAAAGATGGCAGGAGAACAAGTGTTCAGAAGTAACAACAGATAGAAGCAGAAACACCCGCCTCAGGTAGGGATGCCATGCATGTAGCTCCCCAGTAATGAAAGGAAGGTAGAGAAAAGGAACAAATATTTATTATTAAGTACCTACTGTGTGCCAGGCACTGTGCTAAGCACTTACAAATATCTCATTTCATAAGCTACAGCAGGGAAATAAGAATAGTAACATATATAAATATTTGGTAAACATAGTAATGCAATAAGAATATCATTCAAGGGGCAGCTAAGTGGCTCAGTGGATAGGGCACCGGCCCTGAAATCAGGAAAACCTGAGCTCAAATCTGGCCTCAGACCAAACACTTGATACTTACTAGCTGTGTGACCCTAGGCAAGCCATTTAACCCCAATTGCCTAAAAATATATATATATATATCATTCACTTTTGTATCTTACAGAATGTATCCTGTCTTCAGGGAAGGGCAGCACAGAAAGAATACGGTGTAGCTAAGTTTGAGTGCACCCAACTATATTATGTTATATTTTATAGTATGCCCATGCATGGGACCTATATATCATGTCACTATGCCCTGTGTAATTTCATGGGTGGTGCATAATGAGAATTTACAGACTATACGTATATACCTAGTATAATTTGAAGAGACTGCACATTCTTTAACTGGGGGAAGAATGTAGAAGGAATTCTCTGAAAGGTCTCAAGCAGCTCCTTCCTCTCCTGCACAGAGAAAAGAAAATGGAGGCATAAGAACAATAGGAAGAAGACTGAGCTTCTGGGTGAGGTCAGCCAGGAGGAATATGAAGCTAGCTGGAGGAAATGGCCACGTTGCTGGGTGAATGCCAAGAAGTTCTAGCGCCAAGCTGAGAGCTGCAGAAACTACAATGACTGACTTCAGGAGGTGCAGGACCATGCTGAGAAGACACTGACACAGATGAAGAGTGTCTGAGTAATGGCGAATGTATGGATGTCGGAGCAAGTGAACATGCAAAGCCCAAAGGGAGTCAGGTAAACCTTAAGAAAGATGTTGCCCTTTCAATGAGGTTCTCAGTTCTACTCCTGCTGATGGGATTTCATGCAATGCCAAATAATGAGTTTGTATGGTGGCAGCTGGGTGGGGAGGGAAACTGTAACTAAACTCCTTGGAGGAGAGAGAAACAGACAGAGCTCATCAGGAAGGCTATAATTTGCTTTGTTAAAGGGGCTCAAGGATCAGATAGAAATCCTCTCTGTTATTAGTTATTTTTTCTTTGCTGATTTTATTTTTAATTTTTTTCCATTTAATAGTATTTTATTTTTTCCAATTAATTACATGTAAGGTAGTTTTCAACATTCACTTTTATAAGATTTTGAGTTCCAAATTTTTTTCCCCTCCCTCTTTCTCTCCTCCCTCCCCAAGATAGCAAGTAATCTGATATAGGCTACACATGTACAATCATATTAAAAACATATCTCCACATTTGTCATGTTGTGAAAGAAGAATAAGAACAAAAGGGAAAAATCATGAGAAAGAAAAAAAAAAGGGAAAATAGTATGCTTTGATCTGCATTCAGACTCCATAGTTCTTTCTCTGGATGTGGATAACATTTTCCATCATGAGTCTTTTGGAATTGTCTTAGATCATTGTATTGCTGAGAAGAGCTAAATCTATCGAAGTTGATCATTGCACAATGTTGCTGTTATTGTGTACAATGTTCTCCTGGTTCTGCTCACTTTACTCCGCATCAGTTCATGTAAGTCCAGGTTTTTCTGAAATCAGCCTGCTCATCATTTCTTACAGCACAATAGTGTTCTATTACAACAACTTGTTCAGCCATTCCCTAATTGATGGGCATTCAATTTACAATTCTTTGCCACCACAAAAAGAGCTGCTATAAATATTTTTGAACATGTGGATCCTTTTCCCTTTTTTATGATCTCTTTGGGATACAGATCTAGTAGTGGTATTGCTGGGTCAAAGGGTTGCACAGTTTTATAGCCTTCTGGGCATAGCTCCAAATTGTTCTCCAAAATGGTTGGATCAGTTTACAACTCCACCGACAATGCATTAGTGTTCCAGTTTTTCCCTTATCTTCTCCAACATTCATCTTTTTCCTTTTTTGTCATACTAGCCAATCTGATAGGTGTGAGGTGGTACCTCAAAGTTGTTTTAATTTGCATTTCTCTAATCAATAGGGATTTAGAACATTTTTTGTCATATGACTATAGATAGCTTTAATTTCTTCATCTGAAAACTGCCTGTTTATATCCTTTGACCATTTATCAATTAGAACATGATTTGCATTCTTATACATTTGACTCAGTTCTCTATATATTTTAGAAATGAAGCCTTTATCAGAAACACTGGCAGCAAAAATTGTTTCCCAACTTTCTGATTCCCTTCTAATCTTGGTTGCATTGGTTTTGTTTGTGTAAAACCTTTTTAATTTAATGTAATCAGAATTATCCATTTTGCATTTCATAATGTTCTTTATCTCTTGTTTGGTCATAGATTCTTCTCTTCTCCATAAATCTAACTATTCCTTGCTCTCCTAATTTGGTTATGGTATTATTCTTGATGTCTAAATCATGTACCCATTTTGACCTTATCTTGGTATATGGTATAAGATGTTGGTCTATGCCTAGTTTCTGCCACACTATTTTCCAGTTTTCCTAGCAGTTTTTGTCAAATAATGAGTTCTTATCCCAGAAGCTGGAGTCTTTGGGTTTATCAAAGAATAGATTACTATAGTCATTGATTACTGTTTTGTGTACCTAACCTATTCCACTGATTCACCACTCTATTTCTTAGGCAGTACTAAATAGTTTCAATGACTGCCACTTCATAATACAGTTTTAGATCTGGTTCACTGGGCCACCTTCCTTTGCATTTTCTTTTCATTAATTCCCTTTATATTCTTGACCTTTTGTTCTTCTAGATTAATTTTGTTATTATCTAGCTGTATAAAATAATTTTTTGGTAATTTGATTGGTATGGCACTGAATAAGTAAGTTAATTTAGGTAGAATTGTCATTTTTATCATATTAGCTCAACCTACCCATAAGCAACTGATATTTTTCCAACTACTTTGATCTGACTTTATTTGTGTGAAAAGTGTTCATATAGTTCCTGGGTTTGTCTTGGCAGGTAGACTCCCAAATGTTTTATATCGTCTATAGTTGTTTTAAATGGAATTTCTTAAATGGAATTTCTCTTTCTACCTCTTGCTGCCAGGCTTTATTAGTAAAATATAGAAATGTCAATGATTTATGTGAGTTTTTTTTTAATATACTGCAACTTTGATAAAGTTAATTATTCCAAGTAGTTTTTTTTATTGATTCTCTAGGATTCTCTAAGTATACCATCATATCATCTCCAAAGAGTGATAGCTTTATTTCCTCATTGCCTATTCTAATTCCTTCAATTTCTTTTTCTTCTCTTATTGCTAAAGCTAACATTTCTAGTACAATATTGAATAACAGTGTTGATAATGGGCATCCTTGTTTCACCTCTGATCTTACTGGGAAATCTTTTAGCTTATCCTCATTATATATAATGCTTAGTAATGGTTTTAGATAGATGCTACTTATCATTTTAAGGAAAACTCCATTTATTCCTATGCTCTCTAGTTATTTTTTTTAAATGGATACTGTATTTTGTCAAAACTTTGCTGATTTTAGTAACACTGCTCTATGTTAGGCAGTTAGGTGGCACAGTAGTTAAAGTGCCATGCCTAGGGTCAGGAAGACCTGAGTTAAAAATTCCTGCCTCAGACATTTACTAGCTGTGTGACCTGGGCAAATCATTTAATCTCTGTTTGCTTTGGTTTCCTCTTCTGTAAAATGGGGATGATAATAGCATCTACTTCCCAGGGTCGTTGTGAGGATCAAATGAGGAGCTGGGCCCTTTGAGAGACATTAGACAGATTCTGATGTTCCCTTTATTTAGCATTTAAGTTTAAATTAACATTTAAATTTAAATTAATTTAAATTAGTACTTACAATCTAGTCCAACCTATCTTTTCAGACTTATAGAATGTTATTCCCCCTCTCACATTCTGGGATCCAACCAGACTTCTCTCTGTTCCTCACAGATGGCTCTCCACCTTCCTTCTTTGTACCTTTGCTTGCTCACCCCTTCCCTGAAGTATAACCCCTTTCACTTTTACCATACAGAATCCCTCTAAGATACAGCTTAACTATTATCTTCTATAGGAAGGCTTTCTTGATTCTCCCCAAGTGCTAATGCCTTCTCTTCCTATCTTATATTTAACTGTACTGTTTTTATTTGTATTTATGTTCTTTACATTTATTCTATATAGACATATATGTACTTGTTTTCTCCATAGATGGAATGTAAGATCCTTGTGAGTAGAGATTGTTTCATTCATTGTATTTATGTTATTAATATCTAGTACTGTGCCTGATATATAATAGGTACTTAATATGGAGGACTAGCCTTGGAAAGAGCTGACATAAATGTTATATTTATATCTTTCCCATGTCTAGCACAATGGCTTACTCATAGTGGGTGCTCAATAAATACTTCTTGAATTAAAAAATGACTGGATGATTTTCTGAAGTCTACCTCTATCTGCATATACATGAACTATATAACTATAAAATATTCTTAAAGAAATATAGACAGACCTAAATAATTGGAGAGATATCAAATGCTCAGGTTTGGGCCTTGTCAATATAATAAAAATGACAATACTACCTAAATCAATATACTTATTCAGTAGCATATCAAACTGTCAAAAGATTACTTTACAAAGCTAGAAAGATAACAAAATTCATCTGGAGGAACAAAAAGTAAAAAACCTCAAGGAAAATAATGAAAAAAGTAGGAAGGAAGGAGACCCAGAAATACCATATCTCAAACTATATAGTACAAACTAGTAATCATCAAAGCTATTTGGTACTAATTTTAAAAAAAAGAAAAGCTGATCAATGAAACAGATTACAGAAGCAGATACAATAGTATAGTTTCTAATAAACTCAATGACTCCAACAACCAGGGTAAGGACTCACTACTCAGTAAGATCTGTGGGAAAAACTGGAAAGCAGTTTGGCAGAAATTAGGTTTAGAGAAGTACCTTGTATCATATACCAGAATCATCTCTGAATGGATACATGAGACAGATGAAAAAGGTCATATCCTAAAGAAATTAAGGTAAGGCAAGAGATACTTTTTGCAATTATAGAGAGATAAAGAATTGGGTTTTCGTCTAAGTTTGAAAATTTAATTTTAAATGCATTTGAGCCATCATCTAAATTTGAAATTGTTACTCATTGTGCACTTTCCAGGAAACAAAAGATTTATCTTTTTTTCCCAATAACAGTATCATGCCAAAATATCTCTGCTTTATAGTGCAAAATGTATCCTATGCTTTTATTTTAGGCCGTGAATACTGAAAAGAAGAAGATCCAGTGTGGTCTCTAGGAAAGGAGGACATCTCCCTTTTGTGGCTGACCTGAGTTACTGTATTAATAACATAACCCTCCTGCTGCATGGACTAACACCATTGTAGGAATAATCACAGATGGACAACTATTGGCTGCCCCACCTTTTTGTTTGAATCTTTATCTTTACAGTAGAGTCTCACTTTTTATGTTTCTCTTTACTCTTGTATTTAAACTTCAAAGTTTCTCCACAGCTCTGGTCTTTTCATCAGGAATGCTTAGAAGTCCTCTATTTCATTAAAGGACTATGATCTTGGATAAAGTCTGATTGCTGTCTCCCAGTCTGAGCTCTGCAAGTTCCTCACCTGGGTTTGGATTTCTGTAAGCCTAAAGTTCTGCTGAACTCCACTGTGATTAATACCAGTTCTTTTAAAACAACAAATAACATCATCATTGCAAGAGTTTATTAAATATTGGCTGTGTTTATCAAGTGGCTCAAAAAATTCCTGAAAATTTAACAACCAGCTCTCCTGAGCAAGTGAGAGTTAACACCACCACACCACTCACTGCCTAGGAAAACACATCAACTTAGTAACTACATTGCTCTTTTATCTTCTTTCTCTCCTCCCACAACACAGCATTCCACAAAAGAAATCTAATAAAAGGCAAACACCAAGAGTGCATAGCTACTTTCTTCCTCCTTTTTGTGCTGGTCACAGCACCAGAGGAAGGCTGGGACACTGCGCAACTTTGCTGCCCTGGAAACCATACAAGTTTTCCTTAGCAGGCTGTGGTGTGGTGGAGTCAGCTCTTACCTGCTTTGAAGAGTAGATTGTTACATTTTCAGGAATTTTACGAGTTACTTGACAAATACGTCAGTGCAGAGTCCAATCAATTCCTGCAATGGTAATGATCTTTGTTGCTTTAAAGAACTGGTGTCAGCTATAGTACAGTATATTTTTAATTCATTACTGTTTACTTTAGATGATTTTAGCGTTAGTACTGAATATTTGAAAGTGAACTTAATTTCACTTAGTTTTGATGCTGCTAATAAAATGCTTAGAAGAAAGTCTGGATTAGCTAGGAAGTTGTTAAAAATTTTCCTAAAAGTCATCATTTTGCTCTATTTAAATCATCAACTGCAATTATCACTTGATGATTCAATATCTGAAATAAAATAAGTTAATCATTTTAAAATATTTTGGATAAAATTTATTTTATTACCAATCTAATAAAAATCAAACCAAACCAAAAACTTGAACTTGAAAGAAATGTTAAGAACTTGAAAATGAAATTATTAAAAGTGGTGGAATACCAGGACTGAGATGATTAGCATGTAGTTTATGAGCTGCTACTGCTGAATAGGGCATATGTTCTACATTACATATGCATTTTTCTCTGGTCTTCTTAGTCTGGTTTGGCAAACAGAGTAGTTAATATTAATTTCTTGCAAAACTTTGCTTTAATGGTTGACATTCTTGAAAAATTTTCATTACTTTCTAGTGCATTGCAAGTCAAGATCAACTGTCATTTAGAAAGAAAAAATTAATGAAATGTACTATAGGTACTATGGAAAATTTAAAGATTAGCACTGGTATGATCAATCGGTTTTTTTTTTTTTGCTTACTCTCTCCTTGGCTTATGCATCAAGACCATATGATTTTCTCTTGAGTTTAATGTATTTCTATAATGTAGGAATTCACTTTGATATTCTTTTCTCCTTATCTATTACTTTTTGCATCTCTTTAATTTTTTCTAAGTACTTTACCAATACTTCTGATAAGGATATTTTTATTCTCTGAAGCTCTACTTGAACTTGGGGCTACTATCTTTGGGATTTACCCCTTTGACACCTCTCAATCCAACTTATTTCTTCATAATATTTTGTGTTTACTTTGTTTTACTTCTCTCAGTATCTATGTTGGAGGGGGGGTGTCTGTGCATGGGTCAAGCTTTTCTCCTATACTCCTGAATGGTGTGGGTAAGCCTTGTTAAAACTAGGCTCCTCCCCCTGGCCTCAGACATTTGACACTTAACTAGCTGTGTGACCCTAGGCAAGTCACTTAACCCCAACTGCCTCACCAAAAAAAAAAAAAGCAAAAAAAAAAATTAACAGTATCATTGTTTGGGGTAGCTAGATGGTGCAATGGATAGAGCACCAGCCCTGAAGTCAGGAGGACCTGAGTTCAAATCCGGCCTCAGACCAAACACTTGATACTTAATAGTGTGACCCTGGGCAAGTCACTTAACCCCAACTGCCAAAAAAAAAAAGACTAGGCCCCTCCTTTTACAGGAATTATTTGGCCTATCTATCTCTGTGGTTCAAACCCAGGATATGTGGATGCTAAGTTGGGCCCTGGAATGTGCTCAAGGTCTTTCTTCTATTGTGGTCATAGCTCTGAGTAGTCCTGCTGCTGAAGTCTTCTCCTCTGGCTTCTGCAGATATTCCCAGGCTGCTTTCCATAACAGGCATGACTGGAACTCCTTTCCTCTTTCTGTGAGACTTAGGACTACATCCCTTAGAGTGTTCCACAGAATCCTTCTTCCCCTCTCTCTTGCTGTGAAGAATGTCATTCCTGGGCACTGGTCCACTTGTTAGTCCACTCTAGATCTGTAGTGGGGTAGTGATCACAAAATTGAGAGTTGGTACAATGTCTTCCTATGCTGACCTAGGCTGGAAAAATGACTCACTGTGACTTTTTCTTGGATTTTTCCATTAGAATTCATTTTCTAGACATGTTTGGAAGAGTTTCGGGGGTAGCTTACTGTACTTTCTACTTCTCTGCCTTCTTGGCTCTGCCTCAATGCTTTTTTTTTAAGAGAAAAATACTGAGGGGCAGCTAGGTGGTGCAGTGGGTAGAGCTCTAGTCTTGAAGTCAGGAGGACCTGAGTTCAAATCTAGCCTCAGACACTTGACACCTACTAGCTGTGTGACCCTGGGAAAGTAACTTAACCCCGACTGCCTCACCAAAAACAAAACAAAACAAAAAACAACAACAAGAAGAAAAAACCTAAAAAAACAATAAAGAGAAAAATACTTAAAATCAAACATATCAAAGCAATCAGAGCAGGTTGGAATTCTATAGATCATTTCCATTCCAGGAAGCCTAAAACCTCCTTTTTCCTGTAAACAAACTAAAACCTAATAGTTTAGTCTTTTCTTCAGCTCCTTCCTTTAGATAGCTAGCAGGCAGCGATTCTGGGTTTTTGCCAATAACAGAAAAACCTATTGAATGATTAGTGTCCAGTCAACGGAAGTGACTCAGGAACTTCGGGTACCCAGTAAGTTACTGTTTCCTTCTTCAGCAGACAAGACAGCACCAGGAAGACTGGATCAGCACTGATCTAATGGTCTCTGTTTCTGCCCTCTTCTTTGTTCTGCCAGTACTCATTTAGTTGTTTCTGTCCTGCTACACATGGGTAAGAGTTCAAGATGTTAGTCTGTATGGAGCATAAATAACTCAGGTTTCTCAATCCTCTCCATCAGTCAGAGGTGAAGAACACACAGGAAGCCTTAGCCAGGTGTCATTTGCCAGATTTCTCTTCTTACATTAATTCTGACTTCTCCTTTAACATGGATACCTTTTGGCTTTCTTCCATTGTAAAATACTAACCCTTTCATATGTGGACATATTCATTACTGAAAGGGATTTAAAAAATAACATTTGTATAAGGATCACTGGTAAAATCAGCTTCAGAAGAAACACAACCTCTCAGATAAAATATTGAGGAGAGACATTCTGAGGACCAGAGAGAAAACTGCCCTCGAAAAAATGTGCTAAGAGGATCTCAGACAGATCGATGCCTGAGTTGGAGTGCACTGGGGCCCATATGATTTTACATATTGCTATTTTCAGAGTTTTGAAGGGAATAGCTGATAAACTAATAACTATTTAGTTCCCTGGAGACTATAGACAGCTAATATAAAGAACTGCTGGGGTACTACCTGAGAGAACGGTACATCTTTCGAGTTTTACATTATAAGTTAGAGTTGAGCAATTGCTTAGAAAAAGACTCTTATATGAGGCATTGGAAGCCAGACAGGAATGCTAGGAAATGAGCAGAGGAAGATAAAAGCAGGAGAGGAAGCCAAGCACAGGAGGCATCAGGAACAAAGTGAACACAGAATACAGAAGCTGACAGGAGCTGATTAAATCTGATGGGTAAGATACACTGCTATTTTTTTGAAAGCCATGAAGATGGGAAGATAGGCATTACTTTGCTAAAAGTTGATTGATGGAGAAAGTCAAACTTGCTCACTGAGGCCACCTATAGCTTGAGAGACGGGAAATTGCTCCAGAGTTTGTTGTTCCTTACTACCGTTTCTGGTTTGAAAGGGAGAGCCACAGAGGGAAAGATAGGCTTTGAATCTGATTTGCTATGAAGAGTCATGGCTTTCTTGAGAGGTGTTTGGAGAAAACAGAATCCCCTGCTATTTGAAGAGCTTCATGAAAAAAGTTTACATGATCCTATTGCTACTTCTAGGAAGAAAGTACTCAAAGCCTCAGTGTAAAACTAGAGAATTTAAGATAATTTCTTGTCACTGAACCAGGGTAACACTTTCTCAGTGATCTGCCAAGAGGGATTATGTGCGAAAAGAGCTTGTCACGGCTTCAGAGGCCTTAAAATATCAGAGGTGTGGCTTTGCCCAACATGAGATCTGTGGAGACCAGAAAGGAAACATATTATGGAGAAGCAGTTTTGGCTAGCAAGTGACTCATAGTGTACATGGATTTCCCTACCCATAGGCCTCCCTGTCAGGTTTCTATGAATGTATGCCCATTCAGGTAGACTGTTTTATGTTGATTATTATTGAGATTTGTTTTCAATGTGTCAATATTATGATTTTTCTTACTTTTGCCATAATTTTTAGTAAACGTTTCATGTTCGATAGTTTAGTGGTGTCATTATGATCGATTTTGTGTAAATGGGAAGTACATCAGGAGAGGCTTAGTAACTTCAGTTGAAATTAGTGGAAGCACATTTCCCCCATATCGGGGTTACCCCCTTGGATCTTGATACAGATTTCTGAGATGTAACCACATGGTTACCTCTCGAGGAACACCACCATGACCTGTCATAAGTTAGTGTAAGTGGGGTAAGCAAGTCAATCTCAGCCCTAGGAGAGAAATCTGAGAGAGCTGGGCATTGGTAACACACCTGAATTATACCATCAATACCTAGCTATGAAGCTTTGTGGGTAGGCCAATT